GGTCTGGTCCCTGGTACCCCATTTCTTGGCCAAAGGAATCCTTTATCAAACCTGTCTCTGTGTTTAGTTCACACTCTTTGGCCTCTCTGATGATACAGACATCACCGAAGACAAACACAAACTCATAATAAGTCAGTGACACTGCTGTAACATACAGTATGTTATACCACGTATGATAAGTTGGAAAGAAAAACCGTCTTAAACAAACCTGGTGGACCAGCTTAACTGCTCTGAGGCACACAAAACAACTGCAAAAGGTAAAAATATTTGCGGGATCATTATAGGAGGACAACGACTGGTTCTTAAATATTCATCTAGAGTCCGATGTGTTAAAGTAAGAGCTGGTGTTATTGCTGCTAGCGTGAGAACCCAGCCCACCTCCTCACTGGCTCTGTTCAGAGTAATGTCGACAGATTTATCAGTTCATTGGTTGATGAATATGAGCCGCTGTAAATCGCTTTTTCCTTCCATTAGACGGAGAACTAAAAGTGATACAACAGTCTGTCAGATGTTCCAGTGCTGAGATTAATGGCTCCACTTTCCATCGCCACATTAAATTCAGCTTAAAGGGAATCAACACTCATTCTAGTAAAAACTGAAAGCTTCTAGTTAACAGTTTTGGAGGGTGGTGATGTTATTGGTTCAGGCTTAGGAACATCATGTCAGTAGCTTTTGGCCTGCACAGTAATCCTGGGAAAACTAAACGCATGATTGAGTCAGGAAGCCTAATGTAATGTACATCTACTTTAACTCCTACACAGCATCTGAACTTTGTCTATTTACACTGAGCTAAACACGCTGGCAGGTTCTTTTTTACACAGACACCAGCAACGCGGTATTAGAGGTGTGATGTTCCATGTGACATATAACCATGCACGCAGCACACAAATCAGAAATACAACTTGCTTCTTTCAAATCAACAGGGATGCGCTTTTGGTCGTCCTGCACATTTACAAAATGGTTCAGGCTCAAAGCTATTGTGCACAGTGTACAACATGTTAATGACTGTGGTCATGGCTCCTGTGTCTTGAGAATTACAAAACAGCAGCTCATCAAAAGTTTATACCCACAACCGTCCAAGCCACATCTCGCCTTTTACACAGAGGCTGGTGAAATAAAGGAGGGTCAGCACTGACCCCTCCGTGGTATCTTTTACAGAATGGTGTGGTGGAATATTACTGCAACAATCCCGCCTTGAACAGGCAGAGTAAAAAGGCTTAGAACTCAGATCCATAGTCATTAGCACTTAACAGATACTTAATGAGGAACAGTAAACTGCAGCTCAGCACATTAACTTCTCCCAACGTGCTTCAGTTTGGAGTCAGGAGTCAAACAGAAGCTCAGTCACTGTGGCTAATCATGGAGACCTTAGGTTATTTGCCACATGATAAGTGAAAAGCTCAGTGTGGGTGTGTGCGGTGTGGCTGACCTTGTCCTGGTGGTAATGGTTTGGTGATGGTGTATATGAGCTTCTCACTGGGAGTCTCCGAGTCGACGAAGGACAGGGCTGAAGGTGTTATCTCTGTCACCCGATCCTCCAGAGCCTGCACACACACATTGAGGTTTAACACCAAAATGCCCCATGTGATCAGAACTGAGGGAGTAAGGGATCCACAAACAGAAAGCGAACCACGCGACCAGCAGATGAACTCCAGTAATTACATGGCTGCCACCAACACAGAAAGACTAACCTGAAATACAGCAAACTAAAGTAAAATTGAGTTGAATAATTCATGATTTAAACTTTGAAAATAAAGTTTTCAAATACATAATACTTAGGTGTACACTTCAGTTCCTGCACACCATAAAATCTTAATGACACGTGCATTGTTAACAGCAGAGCGGGGCTGCACCTAACAGTCACCGTCATCAATGATTAATGCGCCGAGTCTTCCTTGCAGCTCTGCAGCAAGTAACCAGACACAGAAATTAAGGTCTTGAATTCTGAGTGTCTGTGACAACTTTAAAAAGCCAGTGAGATTTCAGAGTTACCTAGAGTTGTACACGCAGCCGCCAGCTGTCGAAGAGACATCGAACCTGTGTTCATAGAACAACCTGACCATAACGCTGCTGCACTGCACAGCAAAGGTTTTCAATGGGCATTTATACATGGAGCATTGTTGCTATATGCAAATATTTACATTGGTGTTTTTAATTATATGGTTTGTGCTGTGTTATACTGTATGTGTTAGACTACTGTACGAGGTTACAGTCTACATGTATGATGTTATAACCACTATTATATGCAACAGTTTTCCCTCCTGTCCACCTCTTAGTTCTTTTCAGCCTTTGACTATAGTTTATTTAACAAACTGTATTGTTTATTCATTCATTCAAATAACTGTTCCATTTTTTTCTTATATGTTCGGCCAGCGTGTTGGATAGTGGGTTAGGAAGAGGTGGAGATGAATAAAGGAAGGACTGTATATAACAATAACATTTGTGTGTTGTTGTTACCCAGGATCATTTCTTTTGAATCTACTTAAGAGAAAATTATTAAAAAATACTAAAAAGTAATTGTTTTCACTGCATTTTGGTCTATGTTGATCATTTTCTCTACCTTCTCATGACCAGAGAGCTGCATTACTATATAGAAGTCTATGTTAAAAGAGGTTTGTGTAAGTTTGCCTTTTTTGTCCCTCACCGTGACCTGTAGGTGACAGTCGGGGGCCAGCTGAGGGAACCCTGGGATCTGAGGCAGGACTCCTATGGTAAAGGTCTGGGCGTCGCTCTGCTGCATTGGAGAGGCCTCTGTGGAAACCTGCAGACAAACACATTACAGACGCCCACACTCAAACCCTCTCTCCTTTTCTAGTCATCCTCTAGTCACACTAAACATCTCTTATCTTGTAGTTTGAAGTCTTAATCTTCAGGACATTGTCTCAATAAATGTCTGTTTTTCCAACAAACCTGCTTGTGTATTATGCATAATTTCTGAGAGACAGAAATAATGACAAACTCCTGAGAATCACCAGAAGTAAGATACAGCAGCTTAAGAAAGACAAGGTACAGTCCAATGACTGTGACAATGTAAGGAGAACCAGAAGTCAGGCTGCGCTGCAGGGAGGAGCCACAGGGGCTGAATGTGCTTCTTCCCATAAATCACCATCTACGCAAGACTTTTAATGAAGAAGAGTGTCAACTCTAGTAAAACTGTGGGGCCAGCTTAATGCCAATATAGTGGAATCTGTATCTAACAAAGGCTGATGTTATAGGTATATCTGGTCTGTAGATACTTATAAATATTTGAATAAACATCAAGTGAAGGCATGCTTCTTTTCAGAGCCACAGTTGAATCCCAATTTCCCTCACTGTAGCCACATTTCCCTCACTTGGGTCTTTTCCTTTCCCATCTTAGTCCCGCCCACGTAAAAGTCACTTTCGGCTTTTCCCGTGTAGGGGTCGCCAATCGTCACACTGACGACTCGCATGTTGACATTTGGCACATGTTTTACACTGGATGCCCTTCCTGACGCAACCCTGATTCGTACCCGGGGCACAGCGGCGTGAGCGTTGCGCCTTAACCACTAGCCTACCAGGGACGGCTTCAGTCCCGCCCACGTAAGATGTAAGGAAAAGATGCCAGGACAAGCTGTGAAGAGGGAGAAATATAGAAACACATTTTAACTGACATGAGGCATCCTTTCCTCTGATCCTTCATGTGAAGCGTTCAATCACAAACTCATTTCCGATAAAGGGGTTTGTCAATCCATAACAGAATTCCATGAAGGATGCACTCGTTTATCCTCGGATATAGCTCCTCCAGTCAGCCTCCTCACTCCTCAGAGCAGAAACACGACCTCAGGGATGTCCGTCATGGTGGACTGGAATGGCTTTCGGGAAGATTGAGGACCAAGCAACGATAAAATAAAGGAATTGGGATTCACCTCATGTGTTCATGAGCAATAATAGCCACCATGGCTGAACAGCTGCTGCAGACCCCCCCCCCCCCCACACACACACACGCGGGACACACGGGAGAAGCATGTCACCTTTTGCACTGTCTTGGTACGTCCTAAGTCCCACATGATTGATCTTTGCTCCTCAAAGTCATTCTGGTTGAGTAAGGATCAAGGAGACTTCTGAAGGAGCCAGGAGGAGGGTACACAAGCACATCCTTCATGGAAGTCCTCTGTAAAAACCAACACACCCCTTTATCAGAAATTGGTTGGTGATTGGATGCTTCGGATGAAGGATCGGAGGAAAGGATGTCTAGTCAAAAAAAAAAAACGTGATTCTCCTCTCTTCTCATCTTTTCCTCACAGCCTACAGGGCGGGACTAAGACACAAGTGAGGGAAATGTGGATGCATATAAGAGACATGGATGTACCCTCCTTCTCAGTTCATCTTCTTCTCTCCTACAGTCACCCTGCAGTACGACACTGAGGCCACAACCTCTGACCTTGAATTCTGGTTCTGCTACTTTCCACACAAACTGAACTAATTCACATTTCAACTATATGATTGTTCCTTGCTCCTGAAAGTCGTTCCAACTGTGTTGGTGCGACTCTATTCCTCCTACTCAAACTCTCCACGATGTGTGGCCTTAAACTGGTTTGTCCCCTGATTTCATTAAGCGAAAGCAGCAGCCTCAGCTGGTTTTTCTAAAAGCCAGTTTTTGTCACTGCCTTTTTTTCTGCTTGTTCCTGTCACATCTTTTGCATTTTAGGGAAGAAAGGTTCAAGAAGAAGTTGTAGCCAGTTCTGTCAGGGAGGAGTACTGTAACACCAGCAGACTGTGAGGCCAGGAGTCAGCGCCATGAGAGTCAGTGCTGAGTCAGCGGGATTTTTGAAGGTTTTGCAGCAGGATATTGATTGTGCAGTTAATTCTATTCAGCATCAGTGACATACTGAATTTTATGTGTTACATCATTTAAAATCCATTAAATCTAACATTTCAACTGCCATGGAGAGTTTTATGTAAAAATCCATCCATTCATCCGTCAAGTAGCATTCCCCAGCTTCTCCTGGGGGGCCCAAAGGTGTTCCCAGGCTGGACAAGATAATAATCCTTCCAGCATGTTCTGGGTCTGTGGTTCTACCCCAGGGCCTCCTACCAGCTGGATGTGCCCAGGAGGCATCCTGATCGGCTGCCTGAACCACCTCGACTGGCTTCTTTAGAAGTAAAAAAGTAGCGGCTCGACTCCAAGCTGCCTCCAGATGTCTGAAGTCCTCTCCATGGCTCTGAGGCCAGCCACCCTATGGAGGAAACTTATTTTGGGTGCTTGTGTTTGTTTTCTCGTTCTTTTGGTCAGCGCCCATGGCTCATGACCTCAGGTGAAGGTTAAAATGAAAGCGTTGCCTTCCTGCTCCGCTCCCTCTGCACCAGTCCACATGCTAGTCATAAACCGCACCAATCAAAATCAGAGTCCAACCTCGATTATGTTTAGAACCAGGGTACCACCTGTGCATTTCTCAAAGCTCTACCAATTATCATTTTGATATGGACAACGACTCAAATAGCTACTCCTGCTATAGAAAGGACTGTGTGTATTGACTGACCGACAAAGAATGACTCTGCTACCAACTTTTCTGGACCTTCATAGCTTTGTCTATTCATTGCATGTTTGGCTTGCACAGATTTGTATGTCAAAGGATTTTGGTGGACTTTTCGGAACCTTTATATCCTTATCAGAGAGCTGACAAAAAATGAAGAAAAAGAAAAGATGAAATGAGAGAACGAGACCTGAAATAACACGTAGTAACAGTCCCAGGCCAGATCTGCCCAGGCCCCTTGTCCTTCAATAGACACATTCAAAAACAAGAGGATAAAAGTCGTGTCTTGATAGTGTGAGGGGAAAACAACCTCACCATCAAGTCACTATATCTCTTATTTTAATTTGCAGAATCACTTGTTGGAGTATATGGAAATGTGTGTGGAGTGGTGTCCCGCTGCAGAGTGGGACACCACTGGAGTTCAAGTCAGTCAGTTCTAACAAGGCACCACTCGCGTCAATAAAAACCAGTGGAGGAGCATAACACCACTGTGACAAGCCATCAAGTTCAATCTGCAGCTCTGACAAACAGCACAAAGCCTTCCAGCGGTTTAGTCTGTCACGGGTTTTGCATTTCTTCGCCGCTCCTTTCTGCTTCCCATTAAAATGAGACACTTGGGAATTAATTGAAACACATTTGCCCTGATGGATGGAGTCTGCATGTGGGTGGCTGGACGGAGGGAGAGAGATGATTAGATACAGCTACAAGCTGAAAGCCAGGAGTCAGGTGAAGCAGACACTGGCATGAAAACCCGAGCCGCAGCACGGCCACTGCTGCAATAGCTTTAAGGGGATTGTCTTGGATTTGAAGCCAATTTGTGACTAATTTGGTGTCATTAAGGCTAATTGGTACTGAGCATCTATGGGCTGATTCATATAGGAGGTTTGGTGCCAAGGTTTAAAATGAGGGAGAAGAAATCCACAGTGAACACACTTAAAGAACAGTTGGAAGGAAGTCAATGAGAAAGGAGAGAAGAGCCAAATGTTTACATTAACACAGAGGGAACTGTAAAGTCGATGTTAAGTGAAACAGCTGATTAGTGATGAGCAGACTGAAACTTTTCTCATTCAAACACAGAGCAAAAACAAAGTCCTATAAACCTTGCGGTTTAATAGAGGCTTACCCCTACACCTTCATGGTTAAAGGGAAAACAGAATAAACAAACAGAGATGAAAGAGAGATACAGAAGGGGAGAGAGCCAGAGATCCATGAGAGGAAGAGGAGGGCCGAGGGAGAGATGCTGGAAAGGCTGAAGACTGGAAAAGAGGAGGAGGATGAAGGTGAGCACAAGGGAACATCAGATGCTCCGGGGAGAGAACGAGGACACAAGAGAAAAACAAAAAAGTCACCAATCTGTGTCTCTGTCACTGTCTCCTCCTTTTTCTTATTCAGAGTGAGACATCCTTACCTGCTCCCTGAGGTTTTCGCCTCTCACCTGCTATTTACCTTCTTTTATCAGGTTTTAGAAATTGTGTATAAGTGGTAAACACTCAGTAGCAAGTAAAACACAGCAACCTTGTCATGTGTTTATCCTGACATTCCTTATAATTCTCTGCTGCATATTTCACTTGGAATACAAACATTTTACTTTAGGGTTAAAAATTCCATAAATACAGGTGATATTTCAAATGATTGAAAATGAATGAGACGCTGCTGAGACAAACAGAGGCTGTAACAACCAGCACTGACCTTGAACTGGAACGAGTCACTGTGGCTGCCTCCGCCGAAGTGGCGGTACCAGACTGTGCCGTCGTTGACGTCCTGCTGAGTAAAAGAAGCAGTGGCGGTGAAGCCTTGTTCGTCGGATAGCGATGGGTGCCAGCCACCTGGCGGGCCATCAGCCGGCATGGACACCAGGACCACCTCACCTGGACAGAAACGATGGAGGCAATGAAGAGTTTCTCCCACTTTTTGCACATCACACAAATATTATAAATGAATGGAAATCCTCAGAACGTATCCCACTCACATAAGATGCTGAAGTGGTGTGATTGTCCAGCTACACTACCAGTTTACTGAGCATTCTACTGGATTTACTCTGTTCGCTCTGGGTCTGACTAGACCCTCTACACTGAAAAGAAACCGTACAAAGATTCTTTTGAACTGGTTTAATCTGTGACTGTGTTAAAAAGTTTGTACCGTATTTAGGTTGTCCATCTAAGCCGAGGATGGTGTAGACAATGTCATCGGTGCTGATGCCCTTGTAGTTCACCTGCAGGTACTTTTTATCTAGGCACACCATGCCCCCTTCCTTTACCCAGGTCATTGGTACAGACAGTACATGAGGAGCATCAGCAACCTGAAAAAACAAACACACAAGTGTGAATTTTAATAACATCTGACAGCTATTTAACAAGGCAATATAGAAGATGTAGGGTTTTTTTCTCTTAAAACATTTACAAGACAAAATCAGTCAGGAGAAACATTGAGAACCTCTGGATACAGGCCGACATCTGTGGTTGGTTTCTGTTTGGATGCAGCACATTACTCACGGCTTAACTTTAACTGATCTGAAACCTAAAAACATTCCACTGTGTCTTTCCTTTTCTAACCTCCATTAGGCTGTGGATTTGTCCAGGACATTGTTAAGACTGTTGAGATGGTCAACTGGTTGGATTCAGTCAAACTACACAAATAAAATACATCACCCCTGTTTGCCAGAGGCCTTTTCCCTGGTTAAAGTAAATGCTAGGTGTTTAGATCAGGCACAAAGGATTCACAAAGTGGATACCACTGGTGCAATAGCAAAATCAGGAGTTATTTACATATAAATGTATACTTTCACACACAGCATACTAAGTAATATGATGAGCATTACACAAACCAGTGACATTCTTGTGGGCACTGAAGGATAAAGCAGGTGTTTGTTCCTCAGGTGTTTCCTCTGCTCCTTCCACAAAGGCGTCGTTCCTGATCTGGCTTCTTTGAACTGTGGAGAGGCCAACTTGGCATCCAGATGCTGAGCCAGGTCCTTGCTGGGTTTCCCCTGGTCTCTCAGACAAACGTCTGATCAGATTCCGACAGTTTTATCAGTCCACTCCTGGTTTTGTCCTCGACCTCTCCAGGTTTTTCATGATTCTTTAGAATGGCTTAAATACCACATCTTCATCATCCAGTTTGTTTTTAATACCGAATACATATTTCCTTTATTTTCTAGTCGTACTCTGATAAATAAATAAATATATACAGTCATCACAACATTACTAAAACACTTTTGCACAGTGGTGTATAACTCCTAGTACTGATGGCTGAAACCGAGGAGTGACACAGACTAATGTTTGGTGACACCACCTGGATGGTAGTCACTCAGTTTTCTGTCATTCACTTATGCATCTGTCTTTTAGCCATTACACCTTTCCACATGTCAATAATATTACACAAGTCACTTTATTTATTGATGTAAACTGGTCTTTTCGGCACTGGTTTCGTGGCTCTGGGCTCCCACTTTGGTTCTGTCTTTTTTCTGTTGGTTGCCTTTGTTTACGCTGCTGCTCTAATGCTCCAATTTCCCTCTTGGTGGATAAGTAAAGTGTTATTTTATCTTATCTAATTTATAATTTCATTATTATGAAACAGAAGGACAAACACCAGCCAAAGTGACCTTTCAAAAACTGGTGACCTGTTATTGGCGTCTAACTCATCTACAGTACAAACCCATTAGTAAAGTTAGCCATGAGTAAAGTAATTAGCTAGAACGTGAAAAGTTTTGTCTTGTTAGATGTTGGAACCTAATTCTCAATAGAACAGTAACATGGGGTCAGTCTGAGGTCTGGTCTTCACAAGCTGAACACACAAACAGAAGCGCACACAGCCGACCATGTACTGCAGGAGCGGTGGCATAAACACTGAGGCAGTAGGTGGCAAACAGTAGCACAGGTGAGTGAGTATGAGTGTGTGCACAGGTGTCGGTGTCTGTGTTTGCTGATAACGACCTGCACACCATCTGTGGTTCTTCTGCCTGCTGCTCGGATGATCCAAATCACGCCAGCTCAGTGGAGCAGCAGCAGGCAGAGAATCACAGATGAGAAGGCGATTGCTGAGGAGGAGAAAACACATAAGTCAGCATGGCAGGCTTTTAACTCAGAGAACCACCTCGTCTGGGAGATTATCAAGCTGTTCAGATGAAAACCAAAGTCTCTCAAGGACACCGAGGCCCAGAAACAGCGCACACTACAAGAAAAAAAGAGGCCAGATGGATCTTTTTGGATTTACCAATACTCCTAATTTTCCCAGACCTCTAATGCTGACTCTCTGTGATGCGGCTGCACCGTTTGGTAATTTTCTATTCCACTCTAATGACTTTTTTCCCCGAGTGAGATTGTGCTGCCACATTAGACAGACAGGTGCAAAGCAAATGAAATGCCCCTGCAGATTTCTTTGCTTTTTGACCTCTGGGACAGAACAAACTGAATCTGCTCGGTGTAATTTCAGATCGACAAAAAGGAGGAAAACAGATTGTGGAGACAAAAGAAGAGGCAGAATTAAACATCAGAGAAAAAGGTTTGCAAACAGGACATTAGAAACAGCAGCCAAGAGACAGAATCTGCCTAAGTCACTGAATTCTTTGGCTTTTCGTCATCTCTGATCGTCTGTGAGTTATTCATTAAAAGCATCTTATTTAGTGCTGAAGCAATGCAGCGAATGGTGCCAGTGCAATGCCATATTCCTCAGCATATATACCTTTAACAGCATCAGCCATCTTGGGACTGTTTCACTTTCTTCAAATAGTGAAAACAGTGTCTTAGTTAATGTGAGGTTTTAAGTTCTGAATCCTACAGGCAACTGTGACTGTGTAAGTTGCTGGCGGAGATGAAGTCTTCAGGCATGAACTCAGACATACCCTCAGATTAGACACAAAAATGTGGACTGACTTGACCTTATACCTGACTTTACTGAGACCTTTCACCCCAAAGTCTTGAAGAAAAACCATTTACTGTTTTTGATTTGTACTTGATTATGTTATGGTTACATCTCCCTTACCAGGGGGTGAGGGAGAACTGAGGTAGGACTCAAGATGCAGACCCAGGTACTAGTGGAAAAAAGGAGGTTTAATGGAGAACACAAAGTCACTGAGTCAACGTATAGTGCAAAAACAGAGTAGGGCAGTGATGGCTGAGGAGACCAGGACAGACAGGTGAGTAGACTGAATAATGGCAGGAACCAGGAGAAATGGCAGGAACCAGGAGAGCCAGAGGACCAGGATGGACAGATGAGTAGACTGAATAATGGCAGGAACCAGGAGACTCGGAGGACCAGGACGGACAGGTGCAAAGGCATTAACCAGATGGATAGCTAATGCCGTTAGGGAAGCAGAGTAGCGAACGCAAAAAAAAAAAACAAGACATCAACAGCACAGGAACTGTCAGCGTTGAAGTCAAATCCCGTAAGGACTGAATACAAGCATTTACCGTCATTTACCTTCATTTATCAATGCTCCGGCGGCGACGGAGCGTCTGCCAGAGGTTTAGATAAGGAAAAACCAGGTAATCACAGGAATGCGCCTCAGCTGTGCGCTAACCAACAGGTCACTGATTACTGAATGCAACACAGCCGAGGCGCTGATCCCGCAGGAACGAGAGAGATAAAGGAGAAGAGAGGCAGGCCGCGGGCCTGACAGATTATTATCTTGTAATCTTTTCCTAATTTACCTACAACATGGTGTAGGGTTCAAAATGGGCAGGAGGTGATTGGTTGCTGATGGTTTTACGTGAAGACCGTTAGTCTTTTGCAAAAAATATTTTTTTATACCTTCATGTTAGTGGAGATATATCTAAGACCAGAATTACTGCTTTGCCTCTGCCAACCAGTCCAATTCAAGAAAATGGGACATGCGTGAGGTCACAGTGACCTTTGACCACCAAAATCTAAACAGTTCCTCCTTGAGCCCAAGTGGACGCTTGTGCCACATTTGAATAAATTTCCTAAAGGCGTTTCTGACATATCGGACTCACAAGAATGGGACAGACGGACGCATGGACAGACAACCAGAAAACATAATCCCCCTTTCCATGGCTACTGCTGGCACAGAGGCATAAAAAATAACCTAAGCAACAAAATTATTCTCCTCGGCTGCAGCAGGTTTGAGAACAAATGCACAAGAAGTGTATAATCAGAGACCTTTAAAAGGCTTTGAGCCAGCAGGCCTGAGAGAGACTATAAATAGAGTTGATGCTGGCTGGGCAGCTTTTGGCTGCAGTCCAGAGAAACTGAAATAAACGACTTTGCAGAGTGGGTGTCATCCTTAAAACATCAGCTAGCAGCCGGCCAACACGGTCACGCTTTTATGACAATGACACTGATGTCTCTGATATTTGCATCATTTCACTGAGGGAGGGGTAAGTTCGATGAGTTGACGGACTTGTCAAACATCGAGTGAAAGTCACAGAAGGGAGACTGAACACATTCTAATTTAATCTTAGTGAAACGTGTGGTTAAAGTAAACATGGGGGTTGTGTGACGGGGGGGTGCCGGCGCAGCAAATCAGAGCCATCTCAAATGTAATCACAGACCTGGGATATGAAGCTGAATTTTAAAAATAAACTCAAAGTAAATAATCGTACTTCAGCAAGGATGAAGACAAGTGCTCAGCAGGAGAAGAGCTGAGCTCAAAACACCAAGCCCTTCTCTTCTGCTTGAAAACTGAGCTGGACTGATCAGAAAAAAAGCCTAATTCTCTTCTGTTCCTGCTGGGGATAGAAAAGCCTGAGGGTGTTTCAGAGGCTCAGTGTTCTCCCCAAGTCAGTAATTGAAAGCCAGGGGTCCTACTTTCTATTCAGCTGAGCTCCAGCTTAGCTCAGGCTCAACTGAGAGTGGTCCATCCATCAGAGGGTCATTACAGGCCCGATTAGTCTCCTGCTTTAGAGTTCAGTAATTCAACTTTCAGGAAGCTTATTGTCCCCGACACAGCCTGGCATCGACAGCCACGGCTGCTGTGTGGATGGTGGGCCTGGCCATACAAAGCGCACCGCTGAGAGTGCGCCACTCTCTAAACTGAGGATTCTTTGGCTTGAGTTTGTTAAAATTCAGTCAGAGTCAATAATAATCACTCAGGGTTTTATTTTTGAGCTTTGTGGGAGCAGTCAAGGTTCAACAAGTCTTTAAAGTAGATTTCAGGTTTTATTGACTTAGATTTCTTTATTTTTTCACATTGCTTTGATCCACGCCACTCCCCACAGCGAGCACGCCGCTCAGCCTTCATGCTTGCAGCTTACCCTAGTGCCCTCAGGTGGATGCCTACTGTGTTGGAGCTACATTAGACAACTGGGGGCATCGGCCGCTCTACATGCCACAACCTGAATCTCCAGAAATCCTGCGAGGCATCATAAACTTCACCCAGCGTGTTCTTGTTTACCACCACAGCTGTTCTGTGATGCAGTGTATCAGCAAGAACAGCAAAGAGCTGCAGAAGGAAAGAGATGGTGTACTCCCTCCTCAGTGACACCAGACTGTATGCTCCTCGACTCTGTAGCCACGTTTTGACTATTAACCTCAGAATACTGGTGTCATTTCACAGTGAAGTCTTGTGGAATTGTGAAATCTAAATGTTTTTCCTCTTTTAACTGGACACATCACACCAGAGCTATCGGTTGAGTTGGCGCCGCAGATGCCTGCCTTGGTTCTGTACCGGAAACAAACACCCTGTGTGTAACATACTTGGCCAAACAAAGTGATTACCCTGTGGCAGGCAGCTCCGAATGAATGTCCACTGAGAGAAAGTGAACGGGTGGAAATGCAAATGAAATTCTGATTATGCTGATTTAAAACTTACAGTTAAATGTAACGAAGACATTGTTAAAACTAATTTTAAAATCAACAGGAACATATCACCTGAAATAAGAATATAAGACTCCAATGCACACCGGGTGTAAGTCTACCCAGCTGGATGGATGAGCAGGCTGCACTGCCTCTGGGTCTGCACAGGATTATTACCTTAACTAGAAACAGATCACCTGTTCCTTTATTTTTGGACTGAAAATGTTTTTATACCCTTATGCAACTGCATGTACACAACACAAAGTACTGTAGAAATATAACACGTAGCAGAAGCTGCAGTGCTGCATTTGATTATGTTATTGTCACAGTCGAAGTGATCGCTGTGTGGATTTGTCAGTAGATGCACTAATTGGGTGCTTCTCACCACCTTATGTCATATGCATACCTTATGCTCTTCGCCCCTCGTGTGGACAGAGAATCAGGCAGCCACCAGGGTTGGACTGAATTTGTGTGTTGTACAATGATTGGATCCCTGTCAAGTGTGAGTCTCATTAATAACGGAAAAACTACACAACAAACAAATAACTTCCATCATTCATTTCTTTTAAGCTGTGTTCATTTTTCCATTTCAACCTGCAGCTGATCCAGCTGTGATGTCATCAGGAGAAACTGACAATGCCTCAAGACATTTTGGAGATAAGGACATCTCATTTCACTAAAATGTTTCCTCATTACATCCTAAGAGACAAGTGAGGGAAACGAGGAGACACTTAGGACAAATGAGAAGCACAGTCTCGCTTTTTACGCATTTTGTTAAACTTCTGCGCTTTGGTGTTTTCCCCACAATTATGTTTAGCAAAACATTAACGGCTCTTTTTTGTCACAGTTACAGTCTAGAAATCATAGGTGGTGAGAAGACACTGGAGCTTAGAGGTGCAACGCCCTGATTTGCTAACACCGATGAGAGAACCTGCACTAACGGAGGACTGACGCACTGATGTTTGAACTGGTCCAATGAGGAGCAGCAACAGAGACTTTAAAAAACAAATTTTTAAAGCTCAAAGGTATATGCTGCTGTTTTATTATTTATTTTATCAACTAGATTTAATAAAAAAAACCTTTTTGCCCTTTGTAGCATCTAGTTTTCGTTGCACTTGTTGTGTAGCTGCTGTTCATACTGCACAGAGGGGAGAGGAGTCTGTCTCACCTAGAAGCTAGCTGGATAAATGAATGCTGATTTCTACAGCTGCTAATCTGGGTTTTTTACCTCATTAAGGAGCTATATAAATATAAATCATCAGCCCTTAATCACCCGTTCACCCCCCTCCATCCATCCTACCTTCTGGTTGATGTGGATTTGGAGGAGAATATTTCTGTAGCTGTGACCATCGTTGACCTGCAGCACTGTCGCGTCCTCTGTCCCCTCTGAGCCGTCGTGGACATACTGGATCTGTTCCCGTGACAGCTCCTCCAGCTTGAATCGGTTGAGTGCCCGGTCACCATGGAGACGGGTCAAAAGGCCATGGCGGGGCGGTTCAAGGACCATGACCAGGACATCAGCTGGGTTGTCGGGGTCGTCGACCTGCAGGACCGACTTGGTGACGGTTGCCAGGGCGCCACGTCCCTCCACAGGTAGGTGAGTGAGAGTGACAACCCTCGGGGGCTGTAAATGTTCCAGAAAGTAAGAACATGCTTTGACTGTAACCTGACAGATAAGAGGCAAAGACACATAAGACTCACACAGATGGATCTTTGCAAACCCTTATTTTTAAGGCAAAAAGCAAAGTGTTAGGGCTAAAAAAGTTTTAAGACTTTTAAAGGCTGTCTGAGTGCACGAAGGTAATTACACCCAAAGACTCCCCAAATTGCCGGTTGATGAATTTTGTCCCAGAAGGTTGGGTCATGGGGGTGTGGTGTGCTGCCACTGAGAGGGATGATGAAGATGAAGGTAAGGGAGAGGTGAAACAGGGTGGCTTATTAAGCTGCACTCTGCTGTACCTGACGCCTGGGCGTGGCTGGAGCAAAGCTTCATCTCACTAAAATGTCATACAGCAGTTGGGGCAGGAGGCCTCCTGCTGTGAGAAAGAGTATGACTTTGTTCAGAGCTGCCTCCCTGTGTTTGTACGGCTATGCTTTCATAAACCTTTTGACTGCGCCTGCCGTCCTATCTGCCTTTTGGCATCTGCATTCAGGTTGTCTCTTTGTTTGCTGCTGCCTACATAAAAAGTGACACTTTTTTGTTGTTAAGACATGGAAACCTACACTACTACACTTTTAATAGTAGAGTGAATTTTGGATTTTGCATCTTGTGTGTGTCTTTGTTTGAAAATCTGACAGAAACTAACAAAGAAAAAAAAAACAAAAACAGGAGGTCAAAAAACAGCACTGATGCAACCTATTTTAGTAAGACTCCCCACAAAAACATTTGTAACAGTGCTGCTTAGCAGTGACACGGGTAGAGGAACATGGCCTGTCCCATCTGTGATGCTCTCTGGCCCTAAATCAAGCCAGTTGTCAGGAGGGAAGCTCCGAGCTGCTCATCCTGACGCAGGGTCCAATTTGTTGCTCTCGTCAGCTGCTGGCTAAGCTCCAGCTCTCTGACTTTACAGCAGCAGCTTGAGCAAAGGAGGACGCATGAAACAAGCTGGCGCCAGACAAAACAATGACTTGTGGGAAATCATACACACACACTCCCGCTGTGCATCTTCCAACCAAAGTGACCTCTGGGTGAAACTGCAGAGTGACTACAAAGCTTAAAACCCCAGAAAGAGCATGTGGTTAGCCACAGTCTCCTGCACTTTATGTTCTGTCGGGGAATGTTTAGTGAAAGATATGTAGATGTCAGAGGAAGTCGCTCCGAGATACAGCAGACCGGATCCTCGGGCACCCACATAAATCCTGTGTCATCACTGCTGCGACTGGTAGGAGGAAAACAAAAGTTTTGGATGCATTAGTAAAGACTGGGAGTGTGTGTGTGCTTGTGCTGCATTGAAATCGTGCCAAGACACACTAGAGCACTAAAGGAGCGGGCAGAATCTCCCCCCAGGGCAGATGAAAACAAACATAAACAGACGCACACTCAGGTAGGAGGGCTAACCTTCTCTCTTTACCTCCCGGGTGAGGGGGTGGTGAGGTTCATGTCTGAGAGAGAGCTGTCATCAGCTGCGGGGCCCTTGGGGCTCTGCAGCACTTAGAGAAGATGGAAAAAGCTTTTTTGTTCTGCTCCCTCGGTTTTTTTTTTTGTTTTCTCTTTGTTTTGTTTTCCCTGCTGAGTCTGTGCTGGATGGTATTTAGAGGCTTGATAGGCAGAGTGGAAATAGCACCAGAGTTGATTTCATCCACCTGTCTGCCTCCTGGTTTGTACGGTGGCATGGTGTTTGTGTCAAGCTGGCATAGCACAGAATGTTGTTAACCTGGGCCCAAGATAGTGCATATATTACACTGCTGTATTATCACAGTTTTGTTTTCTGTACCTCACAGTCCTGTTTTTGTTACAGACACCTTAGTGAAGATGCCTTTGTATTGATTGGCAGCTAAGGGCACTGCAGAAAGTCCACAACAAAGAGCTGAGTGCCAAACAAATCACCAGAGCAAAGTAAGAAGCCACAAAAACCTAAAGGTTCCCGCTCTAGAGAAATGCCATCAGCAGGTGCCTGAATCTTTTTCTAAAGAGACAATGGCTCCTGTCAGAAGGCTCTTTGCAACCCACATCTCTCATTCCTCAGGCTATGATGACCTGAGGTGCCCGCTGGCTGGAGATCCGATAGGGCTTCTAATCATTGAGGACGCTAGTGTAAACAACAAGAACACTGAAAGCTACATCTGAGCTTGTGATGCTGAGTAACAACAAGAACACTGAAAGCTACATCTCAGCTTGTGATGCTGAGTGAAAGCAGGAATCACGTGACTGTGACTGTGGTTTTCTTTGTCGTGTGTGTGTGTTTGTGTTTTGCTGGAGTGAAGAACTTCACAGACTAAAAGACAGCGCAGTGAATTAATGTTGGTTTTCAGAAACATGATGGACATGTGTCGCCTTCAAACAAATCTCACTTTTCTGTGTTTTTGATTGGTTTTGCATGTGTCTCTGTACTTTATTTTGCTGATGTGCTACATATGCTAGTTGTAAACTACAGTACCTTGGACTGTGTCCACATCCCAGGCCTTAGTGTTCAGTTCTGATGTTTCAGTCAGTTCTGATCTTTGTGTGTCGCTGCTTCCCATCAGTGTGTGTCAGTGATGTGCACCCGGCACCAGTGTGAACACCGCTCAGCTCCTAAACTGCCACACATGCTCAGATTGAACTGAAATGTGAGCCACGTGTGCACAATAACAACCCGGTCGTGTGTGCGACGGTCAAATCCCACAGTTTCCTCCCAAACCGCTGGGTTACGACATGTTCATTGCTTTTGTGCATTTAGTGAAAAAAATATGCCAGTGTTATTGAGGTTACTGAATAAATGAAGAAGCACTAAATGAAGTGTTTGTGTTTTCATGCTGTACCTGCATTGACACAGCTTGAACCTGAACTGCTACCGGCGGAGAAAACAGCTGGGGATCGGCGCAGCGCAGGGTGAACTCACCAGTCCTACAGAAAGGAAGAGAAGGAGGACATTTTAAAAAAACTTAGAGGTTACAGTCTGCTCTCTGCAGCTTCCCCAGGCCCGCTTCCAGTGAACATGAGCTGGAACACAGCCTTTAGGTAGCCCTGGAGGTTTCTGGGAAAATGAGTCCTGTGAGCCTAACACAGAGTGTAGTCATTAGAACTAATTACCTCAGTGCTGGCTAGGTGAGTGGCGGATAGAAGCCACACACACCTGCTCACACACATCACCACCACTATCGGTTCTCAGCCTCCTCTCTGCCACCTCAGCACCATCAAAGACAAGGCTTATTACCCACAAGTCCCTGGGGTCGAAACAGGGGCACAGCCAACTGCGGCTGAAGACCAAATGACTGCGCAGCTTGTTGGTTTAGTGATGACTGAAAGGAGAATGGCTGCTGGTTGCAGAAATGTTTTATAGAGGCACAACAGAAGCATTTGTCAAATCAAAATATCTCTTTATTTTCATGGACTGAAATAAATTTTGCAAACAAACGGGACTGTTGACAATAGTGCTTTTAAATATCAGCAGTATTTTTGTCTGAAATCCTTCATATCAACATTTCACACAATTGCATTTCAGGCTTAGTGAAGGATTTGATTATGAAAATGATTTGAACCAGATGCTGTGGCCTTCACAGTCACCAGGTCTCAGCCCAGTTGAACAGCTATGGGAGATGTTGGAGTGACGTGTTAGACAGCGTCTCCACCACCATTATCATCAAAACACCACATGAGGGAACATCTGGTGAAAGAACGGTGTTCATCCCGCCAGGAGAGTTCAGAGACTTGGAGAGTCAGTGCCCAGGTGAAGCTGTTCTGGTGCACGTGGAGGCCCAGCACGTATGTTGGTTGTCCTTTCATGTGTCACCTGTCTGCATCTGTTGGCCAGATCACAATTCTGATTGCAATCTGTCCTTGTCTTCCGGGCTACATGCAAACCAGGGTTGGCTCTCCTCCTGTCCAGAGTCTTGGAGAGATGGATGCATTTACAGCTTTTCAACATCTGGCTAGAAGGAGTCTCAAACCACAACAGGAGGGAGCTCAAACTATCAGACTTCAATCGTCTTCATTGCTTCTTAGGGGCATTTACACTTAGCTTCTTTTAAGATCAGATAACGAGCCCACTCCATCCACGATACATGAAATGACCCCATGTAAACTGGGTTCAGTCGCTTGTACAGCTGCAGTCTGTTCAGTGCCTGTGCCCTCGAGCAAGGCAGCACCTCTTTGTAAAACTTGTTCTTTAAAATTCATCCTTCACATAACATTCTTACAGCGCTTTTTAACAATGATAAAACTCCTTTTCAGTAACAAATCCTGGTAACAAAAGAAAGAACGGTCACAAATTTACAGAGTTGGTTTTTGTTAGAACTGAATGGATAAGGGATATATTTCTGGGGAAAGCTGCCATAGTACTTTTAAATTTCACTTTATGCAAAGGTTATAAATGTGACTGGTATATTTATTGTATTTATTATAGATGGAAAATGGATTTATTTTAATGCAGCTTTGACACAAAAGTGGAAAAGTTTCTGATGTGTGTGTATGTGTAGAAACACTTAGCAGTCGGACACACCAGCCTTTAAGAGAATCAAACCTAAGAGCATTTGTTTATGGCTCTGTTCCTGTAGCCATTATCCACCACTCCACATAATTAGAAAAATATGGCTGTAATATGCAAATTAAATCTTACTTGGGGTTTTACATTTTAGTGTCTCCATTAGTCTAATGGGTCAAAACTGGGCAGTGGACCATATTTTTCTAATTCGCTGGCCTGCCGCCATTTTGGGCCAGACCAGCTGACTCAGGATGGCCTAATGCGTTTAATATGTCGATTCTGATTGGCTGAATGAACACTGGGCTCTAACCCAAAATGCAACAGCAGAACAGCTGTAGTGAGGAAAACTGGCTGCTGGATGAACTTTAAAAAGGCTGCATTTAGTCTGGTTCTACACATTTATACCTATTAGTCGGCACCAGGGTGCACTCTGGGTAATCAGCCCAGGGTCAAATACTCTGAGTACAAACAGAACACGCCAATTTTTCCACTTTGACTAAAATGTGTAAATGTAATGCATCTCCAGTCCATGTGTAGGTTAATGGAAATGAAATTTCTCATCAGGAAGCAGCATAAATTCAACAGGTGTGAGACCATAACGAGAGCAGCAAAAAATAAAAAGTGAGGATACTCGTGAACAGAGAGGATGAAGAGTTGATTAAACACCACCTGTGAAATCCTGGTGCGTTATAGCTGGGACAGGTGTTAGAGGTTAACAAGACACTATACATGTACTTACATACACTTTACTGATAAACTATAGAACTGTGTGAACTAAATTACCAAATACTGTTCCCTTTTTGCCTTGCGCCCTCCCCCCCCCTTCAGGGATTTTGTTTATATGCCATTTAAATATGTTTGTATGTTGATATATTTTTTTTATTTTCCTAATGCACATTCCTTTTTCTTGTTTGTTCTCTCAGTCTTATCTTGTCTACTCGTTGCTTTACAGAAGAGCGTTGTACATGCACACTGAGAGCCACTGCACCAGAGTCAAACTCCTCGTGTGTCCAACACACCTGGCCAACAAAGCTGATTCTGAAGGGATGGTTACAGTACCCTTTCATGCTTTTTCAATGCTTTTTGTCTGTTTGGTGTGTCTTCCAGTGCAACATGGCAGCTGCTGAGGTTTACTACTGAGGTTTCTGTGCAGTTCTTTTACACCAAGCATCATCATGGACAATCCACCACCATGAGTTAATTATTAATGGGTTCTGGGAGGTTCTGGGTGGGTTTCTACCTCTTACCAAACCCCATCAGATCAACTGACCTGGCTTTGTCCTTTTGGTGTCTGAACCGGACGCGGCCGGCTCTCAGCTCCGCCCAGGTGAAGGTGTCGTTCTTGGACAGTCCTCGGCCTGCCTTCCCTTGTGCTCCCCTCTCTTCTTCTTCCTTCTCGCTGAACAAAAGCAGCCGTCCATTGCTCGGGCCCTGCATGAGCTGGAAGATCAGCCACTGAGATGGACTGTCAGAGTCCTGAACGTGAAGCAGGGTAGGGGGCAGTGCGGCAAAACCACCAAGGGGAACCAGCAGAGAACCGTTGACCTGGAGGGAAGGAGGCTGGCTGTTCACTGTGAGGAGGAGGGAGGACAGGAAAACTTCTTTTATCAAGCTAATCTGAGCTTTAAAACCTCGGGTCTCACATAAAATAACTTTAATGTGAACACAAGTCTGAACACGAACATGGGGTTACCAAGTCCATCCACACATTATCTATACCGTTTAATCCTGAATAGGGTTGTGGGGGGGAGGGGGGGGCTGGAGCCAATACCACCTGACACTGGGTGAGAGGTGGGGTCCACCCTGGACAGGTCACCAGTCTATCACAGGGCTGACATGTGGACAAACAACCACACACACCCACACACACTCCTACGGGCAGTTTAGAGTCACCAGTCAACCTAAGCTGCATGTCTTTGGACTGTAGGAGGAAGCCAGAGCACCTGGAGAGAGCCCATGCAGGCACAGGGAGAACATGCAGACTCCACACAGAAAGGTCCCGGGTCGGCCGGGGCTCAAACCCGGAGAATTCTTGCTGTGAGGTGACAGCACTAACCACTGTTCCCCTATGCCGCCCGGGCTTACCAAGAATTTATTGAAATTAATGTAAAAAAAAAAAAAAACTCAAAAACAACACACTGCCTCTATTTAATACATTTAATTAAATACTTACATCTAATTAAATTTACAGCAGGATCTGAGTGTAAGTGGGCGGAGAGGACACAGCCTGGGAGAAACGGTGCAGCCCAGGCGAGACATCTCGTCACGGCGTGGCATTTTAGGAGCTGGCTTTAATTGGGACTGACTTTGAGAATGAACTTTTTAAAGATCAACCCTTTTTACAGGCCCTGTTGTAATCTCATTATATCTGCACTAACGATGCCAACACTGGGAAATCCCAAACTTTTAGCCATATAATTAAACTCGCAAATGAGAATAATTTAAAGCACTAGTTACTCAACTTTTTTTCAAAGCAAGCAAAAAAAAAGTGATTTTTTTTTCAGGTAATTTTACTTGATCAAAGCCTGGAGGCTGGAAATGTTCATTATTTCACAAGAAAATAGCATTAATCACAAAGAGCGCATGATAATATATTTCTCTATTAGAATTAGGCTTAGTCACATTTCCTACATCGCCTGCGTGCTCCTGAAGGCCTGGGGCGTCTCTGCCTGCAGGTTGACATCCACCATTTGAACATTAAAGGCACAAAATGAAAGTACCAGACTCATTTTAAAACCACAGTTTTCCCAGTTTTTACTGACATGTAAGCAGCTCAAGACTAGTGAAAACCCTCAAATGTACAAAGCTAAGAAGTGAACCGCCAGAGGTCAAAACAAAAGTCACCAAAAAATATATGGAAATTCAATATAAAACTGGTCTTTTTCCACTAGCAGGTTAATGTGCGTTTCCTTTAGCAGTGGAAGTAAATGAGTCTTGGTCTTGATGCAAACAGTTTCTACAGGTGTTTAATAGCAACAGATTCTCTCTGTACAAAGGCAGCGTTGACTGTTACTACACCGTCTGAAGCATCATTTGGAAAACGGTCATTAACAAAGGAAGTCAGACCTTTTCAGAGGTTCATCCTATAGCAGGATAATGAGCCAGAACACCTTTTAAATCCTGCAAATTATGTTGTCACAAATTATGTAACACAGTTATGTTTCAGATCTGGACAACAGCTCTCCCCTGGGCGCTGCCTTGTGTGCGTGGCTGACAGGTCATTAACCAGCTCATCAGACTGGACCTCAATCATAAAGCAGACAGAAATGATGTTATTACCGTGGCAGGTCCTAGTCTTCTGGTTGGCGTAGTACCCATGTCCACAGTCAGGCGTGCAGTATCCTTCCATGAGGTAGGTCTGGTCACAACAAGCTCGGCAGCGTCCAACCCCATCGCACAGCACACAGTCAGATGAGCAAGCTAAAGAAGATCACAGCCATCTTGTGTCAGAGGGATTAATACTTTGTACAATCTTGCAATGCACATTTTCTTTGTGGTGGTATTTTTCTACTGTTGTTTTGCTAAACAACATTTTTCATATTTTATTCCCACTTTTCTCTAGGATACATTGTTTTTACAGTATAACCTTCAAACACATCCTTACTTTCTGTCTCCCATTTTTAAACTGAACTGAGATCCTGACCTTGCGCAGACACCATCTTTAGAATCTGTCTCAGACTTAATAAACATAAAAAAACATTAGAGATAAAAACAGTGTGTAAACTCTTACGTTTGCAGACTTGGGAGGAAGCGTCCAGGAAGTAGTTTCTGCCACATTCCTGCACACACTGCCCATGCAGGGTGATGTGAGGAGGCCGGCACTGCTGGCACTGTCCAGGACCTTGACACTGCACACAGTGGTCATCACAGTCTGGCAAAGAGACAGAAACACAGTGAGAGCATTTCACACAGGGATCAAACCTGACATCTAGTGATATGAAGCTGCAGCCTCAAAGGACTGAACACAGACCCGAGAAAGAACTTTGTGGAACATTTCAGTATGTTTTTCTGTGGATTATTTTAATTATGAACCATATGTACTCTGATTCGTGAAAATACTATGAACTTAATGACAGACAGATGATAAAAGTGCATCTGAAAAGCAACCTGAAATGTTCACTGACTTAAAAATATAATAGCAAAATGGGACAGTTGAAGGATAAATATGTGCAGCTGCAGCAACGGCAGGAGCACACAATGTGGTGAGCTTATCTGCTTTGTGGTGGACTGACCGAGGCACCTGTCTCCATCCTGATAGGAGCCAGGAGAACATCCCTGGGTGCACACTCCATCCTGCAACACGTACCCCTCCATGCACTGTAGGCAGTCTGTCCCCAGAGGGCCTTTACAGGCATTACAGCTCCAGTCGCACTCTGGAAACGGTACAGAGGGCAGCAGGGAAAGGATGTATGTGTGCATATGTGTGTGTGTGTGTGTGTGTGTGTGTGTGCGTGCATATGTGGGGGGGGAGTAGAGAAAGGCAATGGCATTATATGAGAGGGGGATTTTGAAGGAAAAAGCAAACAGTGAGAGCAGAACAGAGGAGAGGGAGGGAGGGAGAGGAAAAGAAATTAATAAACAGTTTTTGAGCAGGGATTTATTTTAAACCTGTGTGTTTTTTCTTTCTCTCTTATCACCTGCACATCTGTTGTGTTTGTGCCATGCTCCATTAATATTGGCAACAAAATTAAACACATTTAGGGCAGATACAACTGTCTGTGTTTGTATGAGCCTCTAGGTTTTTATTAAACGTTCAGAAGGACACAGATGTTGCAAAGCGATGACACACTGCCATGGCCTTCTAAGACTGTAAACCAGAGGATGATTATACTGTCCAGAATATAAAGTGCAGTTCTGATGCAAAACATATTACAACTCATAATACTGACAAGCTGAAGGGTCTACGGGCATGCTAACAGCTCTGTGACACTGCCATGGCCTTTGTGCAAAGAAGAAGAAGAAGACAGGGTTGGGATTTTCAATGGCCGGTAGCCACATCAATCTTTAGCGAGCGGGGAAGCCAATAGTCGATAAATAATCGATAGTCAATAAATAATATCGTGTCGGTTTTGTTCTTTTTTCATCAGATCAAAAACAACAATTTAATAATAACAGATGAGACAAATTAGCTGAACTTATATTGACATGGTTTAATTAAATATGAAAACATTTGAATTATTTCAAGTTATTTAAAAATAAAACATGAGCAGTATACAAGATTCTCTCAGGAAGCTTTGAAAGGTCCCCTGAGGCTGCTCCCACAGGGTGCTCAAGCCCGTTTAGTTTTCAGAGAGCAGTGTCATGAGCTGGATGGCACTGCTAGCTTCCTCAAAGCAAATCAAACTGCGTATCTTGCCACTAGCAGTTAGCTTAGCTGCTAATCCCGTAACAGATGTGATGTGGCAGTTGCCCCTCAGGGGACAGGTTCTTTGGGGCCCTGACACCTAGAATAATCTTATCACACTGAACCTAAAGCCTTTAAGATAAGCACAAAGGAAAATATATTTTCATGCATCTTATTTGTGAGTTGCAGTGAAATGGTAAGAATCGGCCTGACAGTGTGTGGTCCGGACTGGTTAGCCGGTAATTAAATACATGAACAGTTATTGTAGGCAGAATGAAAAAGTTATTCAGACACGGATCCTGGGAAGTTCGTTTATCAACCTCTCTGTGCACTGGGAGATGTAATACTGAGTTAAAATGCACACCGAGGTTTAGGATTTGCATATCTGGTCCCACAGTTTATTACATGATCGATGGACCCCATAAACTCAGTGTAGTACATTGCACTACATGCAATATGGGGGGAGAGTAATTTATGAATTTCATAAAGGGCACGCTACATATCCTCATTATTACTCCAATGCTTCCCCTCGCCCTGCCTGTGCAGTGTGCGCTGGCTTATCTGGACGGAGGTGTACCTTTGCAGGCGCGGGTTGTGGTGTTGAGGTAGTACTGATGTGCGCAGATGTCATACTGGCACTCTCCAAACAGTAGCACCTTGGCCAGGTCGTGGCAGGACGTACAGACTCCTGCTATTTCACACGTCAGACACTGGCTGTCGCATGCTGCCAAAAACAAAACGACAACGTGTATATCACCAAATACTGAATGTGTCTTTGTTGGTCACAGGAAGGATCTAAATAGTGAACACTTTGCTGATGTGCGTTTATCATCTATGCCGTCCTGATGGAAGAATTAAAAATACTCTGTTACAAGTAAAGGTCTTGCATTCAAAATATTAAGTAAACGTACAAAAGTATTAGCATCAAAACATACTTACAATACCAAAAGTAAAAGCAGTCATGCACAATAGCATATTTTACATTAATGTATATTATTGGATTATAATTATTGATTAATTATTAATTATGTTCATCGCTTTAATGCTGCAGCTGGTAAAGGTGGAGCTGATGGTAACTACCTTATATACTTATACTGTGAAGTACTTTACATCCTGCTGGGTAGCTGGTGGATTTTCCACTGGTAATCAATAAAGATTTTACTGTATTTTGAAAAGTTAATCAGATTCTGAAAAGGAACTAAAGTCATAAAATACATATAGTGCAGTAAAAAGCACACGATTTGCCTCTGAAATGTGAAGTTGAAAATAGCACAAAATGAAAATAGTCAAGTAAAAAGTAAAGTACAAATACCTGTTCTTGAATAAATGTACTTAGTTGCTTTCCCCCATTGGTTACTTCATTACACAATTTTGTAGTATTTGCAAAATGATGCATCAGCTGAATGACCCACAAACGTCTGCACAGACCAGAGGTGTGTTTAGTTTTGATAAAGGTGTAGAGGACTGAGCAGCCTCGTCAGAGGTACGTACTGTCTCAGCACTTGTTTGGTGGCTAAAGCATTATTTTGTCCACCTCCTGAAAGCCATTAAGAATCCCCTGCCACACTCAGATGTCACCTCAGAGATGCAGTAATATCTCTGAATCTTTAAGTTAAATGTTATTATTCAGCCTGGGTGCAGTGGTGGGACCTCACTTACCCTGACAAACCCTGTGGCCGTTGTCATAGTAACCAAGGGGGCATTTGGGAGCACAGAGACCAGAGGGCAACAGGACAGCGTTAGCTGGGCAGGAAGTACAGGAGAGAGGTCCTGCCCCACTGCAAGCCTCACATGATGGATGGCATCCTGAAAAAAAGTGATTTTATTTCATTAATATAAAATGAAACATTCAATATGTAGAAACTGGGAAACAGCATTTGGAAGCAAAACGACAAAGAAAAATGTGCGATAAAATGAATTGATGCAGCATAAACATGCTATAGCTGACAAACTCAACCTTAGTGCTACAGACAGGTGACAAATGGAAGGGGGGGGCACTGTGATCATGGGGGAGACCACTCAGTTATTCATTGTTTTCCTTTCATTTGTCAGCCGCCTGTATAAAGCAAGAGCTGAATGACTAAAACATGCAAAATTCAGATTAAAGCTACATTCTGGAGTGTAAGAATATGCATGTATGAGTCTCATTAATCACTGTCAAGGACCCAGTCATTCTCAGATTGCTCTGCTCTTCAGTCTGCCTGCACCCCACCACCACACACTACTGTACTTGTATCCAACCCTGCATAATAATCATTATCACCAAAAGCAGGCCTGAATCAACACAAGGAAGAGCAGGATGTTACTTAAACACACCAAAGTTTAATCCGGTTGCTTGTGACTCCAACGATTCGTCAATTAAAATGTTATTGTCTGTATATAAGTGCATGTTTATCTGTTTGTTTATATGTATCTACAAGTGCCATCACTATTCCTCTTGCTGTTTCTTTATATAGCGTGCGTGTGCCTAGGGCTTGGCTAAATGACACTCCTGAGGTTTTGCTCTTGCAGGCTGAAGCTTCCTGCTCACGCTCTGAATTTAAATCTCTATGCAGAT